GTGTGAGCTTGTATCTGCTTTGTGCAGTCGGTTCAGCATTTTCTCTGTAATGGCTCTTTCACATAGGCAGCCAGTGGGGCGCTATAAGCAGGTGGCTGAGCCTCAGTTTTACCACCTACCTTTTTTATTTTGTACAAAAAGTCGGTGATTAAATTGTGTTCGTATGTACAAAAATTCATCCTCTGGGGAGTGCTGCGTGTGTGCGAGCTCCGTCCAGGGTCCCCTACTGAGTAGTGGTCTGTCTGTGTGCATGTCTCTGTGTGTGTGCGTGTCTCTGTGTGTGTGCGTGTCTCTGTGTGTGTGCGTGTGCATGTCTGTTGTGTGTGCGTGTGCGTGTCGTGTCTCTGTGTGTGCTGGTCTGTGTGTCTGGTATTCTGTTGTGTGCTGCCACCTGCTGGATGTGATCGGCTTTTCTCTCATTTTGCTGGTTTTGTGAATGTAATTGGCTCCGGGAAGCACAGTGGTAGCCAATACTGATGTCTCCTTTGGAATTTGCTGCTGCTTGTTGGGTTCCCTGTTTTGAATTGATGATGCAGAGTAAGAATGCCGTCCCATACGATCGATCAGTGATCCTGTCTCGTGCTGGATGGATGACAGGAGGGAGAGCCCAGAGAAAACACAACACAGCTCACTTCCTACTGGCTCTTTCTTGCTAAGTGCAATGGGGATGGGGGGGGGTTATTTTACTAGGAAGGATGGGGGGAATAGGGAGAGAGGGAGGGTAGGAGAGCTGCGAGAGAGAGAAGTGTAAAACAAATATTATATGCATACACTTATTGTATTGGGGGGGGGGGGGCTATTTTCAGCACAAAACCTAAATACACCACTGGGTGGAGTAGTAGTGTAGGTAGGAGTAGAGTAGCGAGTGTAGGTAGGGGTGGAGTAGCGTTGGGGAGTACCGGTTGTAAGTAGGGGTGGGGGGTATCATTTTGTAGGTAGGGGTGAAGTAGTGGCAGGGTAGCAGTGTAGGGTAGGTAGGTGTGAAGTAGTGGGGGTCCTAGATAGGGGTGTAAGTAGCGGCAGGGTAACGGTGTGTGTATGTAGGGGTGGAGTAATGGGTGTAGTAGTGTCTGGGTAGCAGTATAGGTAGGGGTGTAGTGGTGGGGGGGGCAGTGGTAGTAGGTTGGGCTGTTTTTATTAGTTGTTGTGTGGTGGTGGGGGGGCGTGGGTAGCAGGGTTGTAGGTAGGGGGGGTTGAGTAGTGGGTGTAGTTGTGGTGTAGTAGTGGCGGGGGGGGGTAGCAGTAGGTGGGGGGGACGGGGGGGGTGGGGGTAGTGGGTGTAGTAGTGGTGTAGTTGTTGTGGCGGGGGGTTGGTGGTAGGTGTAGGTAGGGGTTTGGGGGTGTAGATAGGGGGTAGTAGTGGTGTAGTAGTGGCGGGTTTTGTTAGGGGGGGGGAGTAGTGTTGGATGTATTAGTGGCGGGTAGTGGGTGGGGTAGCAGTGTAGGCGGTTTGGGGTAGGGGGGGGGAAGGGAGTAGTATTGGTGTAAGTAGTTGTTTTGGTAGCAGTTAGGTGGGTTGGGTATAGGGGTAGCCTAGTGTTGGGGGGGGGGGGGGGGGGCTGGTTGTAGGTGGATAGCAGTGTTTAGGTTTAGTGGTGTAGTAGTGGAGGGGTAGTGTGTAGGGAATGGGGGGGGGGGTAGTAGGGATGTAGTTGTGGGGTGGATTAGTGTGGTAGCAGTGTAGGTGGGGGGGGGGGGGGGGGGGGTATTAGTGGATGGGGTAGTGGAGTGTAGTAGTGGAGGGTAGCAGTGTAGGTGGGTGGGGGGGGGTGGAGTAGTGGGTGTAGTAGTGGCGGTTAGTAGGTGTGGGGGGGGGGGGGGGTAGTAGTGGGGTAGTAGTGGCGGTGTAGCAGTGTTAGGTGGGGGGGGGTGGGTGTAGTAGTGGAGGGGTAGCAGTGTAGGTTGGGGGGGGTAGGAGTAGTGGCGGGGGGGTAGTGTAGGTGGGGGGAGTAGTGGATGTAGTAGTGGAGGGGTAGCAGTGTAGGTAGGGGGGGGGGGGGGGAGTAGTGGATGTAGTAGTGTGGTGGTAGCAGTGTAGGTTGGGGGGGGGGGGGTAGTGGGTTGTAGTAGTTGCGGGGGGGGGGTAGCAGTGTAGGTGGGGGGGGGGGAGTAGTGGATGTAGTAGTGGAGGGGTAGCAGTGTAGGGGGGGGGGGGGGTAGTGGATGTGTGTAGTGGGGGGGGTAGGTGTAGGGGGGGGGGGAGTAGTGGGTGTAGTAGTGTGGCGGGGGTAGCAGTGTGGTAGGGGGGGTGGTTTTGGTAGTGGGTGTAGTAGTGGAGGGGGCAGTGTAGGTGGGGGGGGGAGTAGTGGGTGTAGTAGTGGCGGGGGTAGCAGTGTAGGTGGGGGGGGGGGGGAGTAGTGGGTTTAGTAGTAGTGGCGGGGTAGCAGTGTAGGTGGGGGGGGGGGGTAGGGGTGTAGTAGTGGCGGGGTGCAGTGTAGGTGGGGGGGGGGGAGTAGGTGTAGTAGTGGCGGGTTAGGTAGCAGTGTAGGTGGGGGGGGGGGGGTGGGTGTAGTAGTGGGTGTAGTAGTGGCGGGGGTGGTAGCAGTGTAGGTGGGGGGGGGGGGAAAGGAGTAGTGGGTGTAGTAGTGGGGGTGTAGGTTAGCAGTGTAGGTGGGGGGGGGGGAGTAGTGGGTGTAGTAGTGGCGGGGTGGGGGTGGGTAGCAGTGTAGGTGTGGGGGGGGGGGGGGGGAGTAGTGGGTGTAGTAGTGGCGGGGTAGCAGTGTAGGTGGGGGGGGGGTAGTGGGTGTCCCACGTCCCAGCTGTTGTCAGCACTCCCTCCTCTCCCCTGCAGCCACCAATGACTGACACAGGAGCTGATCACATGACTAGACCCGAGTGTGCAGGTTACCCAGGTTGGTAAGTAGAGGGAGGGGGGAGGGGACAGAACTAGTTGGCTTCAGGCTGGAATTAAGAAGACCATATACGGCAAGGCGTGACACTTAGATTTTGGGTTGATGTACACATGAACACTCGCCTGTCCTGCTGGTATATGTAGTACGCCCGTGGTGTGAGGTGTTTCGGGGGACGATGGTTACGGTGGGAATTATCCTGGAGAACTCTGCTGATCTCCTCTGTTGGTTTTGAGATGATCGCTTCGGGGAATAAAAATCTAACTTGCTGTGGATGAATCCTCCTGTCGGTCGGATGGGAACTTTGCTGCTTGTGGATTACACGGGAGGGTGACCACGCCGCTGCAGCATGGGGGCTGGTGGGATGTGTGGTCAGCTTACTAAAGAAAAGGGCGCAAGGAGAGCAAGAACGGTCAGGATCCACAGGATATTTTCGAAGCAATTTGTTGCAGATCCTATGTACAGGACTGAGGGGAGGTTCCCTTTGAACAGGTAGTATCCATCGTTCAGTCCCTGCCGGAACACGCAGACAGGGGCGGACTGACAACTCATGGGGCCCCCTACTGACCCCAGGCCCTCGGGCAGTGCTCGAATGATCAGTCCGCCCCTGGCCACAGGAGACCATCCGGGCTGATTTCTGAAAGATGGAGGAGTATGTTGGCCAGGGGTAGGCAATCTGCGGCTCTCCAGCTGTTGCAGGACTACAAGTTTAATCATGCCTCTGCAAGTCATAGCTGTAACTCTGTTTTGTAATGTTGCAATGCCTCATGGGAAATGTAGTTCCACAACAGCTAGAGAGCCGCAGGTTGCCTACCCCTGGCCTAGGCAACCAGCCTGACTCCAGTGCTCATCATTCTGTGCCATGGGGATGGCTGAATCACTTCCTTTTGTACCTCTCCTGGGGCCAGGCTCAGAGGTCCCTGTGCTGCGGGTCCCGAGGGTGTGAACGGTGCAAATGGTTCTGGATCTAGGAAGTCCTTATCTCTGCCTGTGTCTGCCCAGGAGCAGATCATCCCCCCTCACAATGTGATACTAGATATAGCCAGCAGGGGGCAGCACAGGACAGTCTGCCTGTTTCCTTGTGTAGTGTGCGGCTGTTGCTGATCCGTTCCTCTGTGTGCGCCAGTAATGGTCGGGGATCTCTGGTTTGCCATTCAAAGCGAGCCAACCACGATATCCTTGGTAATGGTCATACCTACCGCTCAGACTCCAGGAGCTGCACACCCGATGGCACATGGCATGTGACCTGGCTGGGATTTGTAGTTCTGAGGGCCCAGTGATCAGTATTGAGCTGTAGGGGTTGGGAAGTGTACTGGAAGAACCACAGGGGGCAGTGTTGTAGAGCCCATTGCTGGATCACCGACCACAGACGGAGGGCGCTCTGACAGGGTTCTTGGTGCCCACAGTACTCTACTAAGCAATTGTGTCGTTTTTGTCTGAGCAATGGACGTCTCGTATGGGACGACGTTTGTCTCTGCGGGTGACCGACGTTGTCTCTGCCGTGACACGACGCTTGTCTCTGCCGTGACGACGTTTGTCTCTCCGGTGACGGGGCGACGTTGTCTCTGCCGTGACTCTCCGGTGACGGGGCGACGTTCTGTCGTCTCGCCTCTGCGTGACGGGGCGACGTTTGTCTCTCCCGTGACGCGACGGCGCTTGTCTCTGCCGTGACGGGACGGCGCTTGTCTCTCCGTGCGACGGCGCTTGGCCGTGACGCTTGTCTCTCCCGCGGCGGCGCTTGTCTCTGCCGTGACGGGGCGCTTGTCTCTCCGTGACGGGGCGGCGCTTGTCTCTGCCGTGACGGGGCGCTTGTCTCTGCCGTGACGCTTGTCTCTCCCGCGGGACGGGCTTGTCTCTGCCGTGACGGGACGGCGCTTGTCTCTGCCCGCGACGGGACGGCGCTTGTCTCTGCCGTGACGGGACGCTTGTCTCTCCCGCGACGGGGGCGACGCTTGTCTCTCCCGCGACGGGCGGCGCTTGTCTCTGCCGTGAGTTGGCCGTCACACTGTTGCCGTGGGAGGGGCAGTCCCAATCTACTGCCGTGAGGGGCGAAATCTCCCCGATTGTGGGAGGGGATATACAAAATCTACTGCAGGGAAATCTCTCCATTGTGGGAGGGGCATATACAAACTACTGGGGGAGTGGGAGGAGACGCAAACTGTTGCAGGGAAATCTCCCCATTGTGGGAGGGGCAGAGACGCACACTACTGGGGGAAATCTCCCCATTGTGGGAGGGGCAGAGACACACTACTGGGGGAAATCTCCCCATTGTGGGAGGGGCAGAGACACAATCTATTGCAGGAAATCTCCCCATTGTGGGAGGGGCAGAAACACAAACTGTTGCAGGAAATCTCCCCATTGTGAGGTTGCTGTACTTTTATATTGACTCTTTCGGAGGAATGGCACCTAAAGGATTTTCCTGAAGATTTCAGCTGCAAGTTTATGTGAAAATTTGGTTTTTTTTATCTGGAAAACATTTTGTTCCCAATCCAGCCTTTCCTCCGATCAGACTTCTCCTTCTAGAATGCTAGTTCCCTGGCCGTCACGCTGACTCTGCAGCTTTATTAGTCACTGACCCAGAACAAACACACGAGGGCCGAATGTACCCCAACAGCCTGATCTGTGTACTTGCTCCAGGTCTGGGGTTGGCAGAGCAGCCAGGAAAATAGCATTTTTCACAAGATGTCCTCCATGTCAGGTCCATCATTCTTTCGTGAAAGTTTTTTGCTTTAAGCCACAAAGATGGGTCTGGAGGGCCACCTGTGGCCCTGAATACATCATGTATTCTACAGGTGAAACGCGAAAAATTAGAATATGGTGCAAAAGTTCATTTATTTCAGTGCAGCAACTTAGAAGGTGAAACTAATATATGAGACTCATTACATGCAAAGCAAGATAGTTCAAGCCGTGATTTGTCATCATTGTGATGATTATGGCTTACAGCTCATGAAAACCCCAAATCCACAATCTCAGAAAATGAGAATATTGTGAAAAGGTGGAATAATCTCGGCTCAAAGTGTCCCACTCTAATCAGCTCATTAGCCATAACACCTGCAAAGGGTTCCTGAGCCTTTAAATGGTCTCTCAGTCTGGTTCAGTAGGAATCACAATCATGGGAAAGACTGCTGACCTGACACCATCACTGACACCCTCCATAAGGAGGGAAAGCCTCAAAAGGGAATTGCAGAAGAAGTTGGATGTTCCCAAAGTGCTGTATCAAAGCACATTAATAGAAAGTTATGTGGGAGGGAAAAGTGTGGAAGAAAAAAGGTGCACAAGCAGCAGGGATGACCGCAGCCTGGAGAGGATTGTCAGGAAAAGGCCATTCAGAAGTGTTGGGGACTTTCACATGGAGTGGACTGAGGCTGGAGTCAGTGCATCAAGAGCCACCACACACAGACGGATCCTGGACATGGGCTTCAAATGTCGTATTCCTCTTGTCAAGCCGCTCCTGAACAACAAACAACATCAGAAGCGTCTTACCTGGGCTAAAGAAAAACAGACCTGGTCTGGTGCTCAGTGGTCCAAAGTCCTCTTTTCTGATGAGAGCAACTTTTGCATCTCATTTGGAAAACAAGGACCCCAAGTATGGAGGAGAATGGAGAGGCCCAAGGACCCCGAGTATGGAGGAAGAATGGAGAGGCCCAAGGGCCCCGAGTATGGAGGAGGAATGGAGAGGCCCAAGGACCCCGAGTATGGAGGAAGAATGGAGAGGCCCAAGGACCCCGAGTATGGAGGAAGAATGGAGAGGCACAAGGACCCCGAGTATGGAGGAAGTATGAAGAGGCACAAGGACCCCGAGTATGGAGAAGAATGGAGAGGCCCAAGGACCCCGAGTATGGAGGAAGAATGGAGAGGCCCAAGGCCCCGAGTATGGAGGAAGAATGGAGAGGCCCAAGGGCCCCGAAGAATGGAGAGGGCCCAAGGGCCCCGAGTGGAGGAAGAATGGAGAGGCCCAAGGCACCAGTATGGAGGAAGAATGGAGAGGCCCAAGGACCCCGAGTATGGAGGAAGAATGGAGAGGCCCAAGGACCCCGAGTATGGAGGAAGAATGGAGAGGCCCAAGGACCCCGAGTATGGAGGAAGAATGGAGAGGCCCAAGGACCCCGAGTATGGAGGAAGAATGGAGAGGCCCAAGGACCCCGAGTATGGAGGAAGAATGGAGAGGCCCAAGGACCCCGAGTATGGAGGAAGAATGGAGAGGCCCAAGGACCCCGAGTATGGAGGAAGAATGGAGAGGCCCAAGGACCCCGAGTATGGAGGAAGAATGGAGAGGCCCAAGGACCCCGAGTATGGAGGGAGTATGGAGGAAGAATGGAGAGGCCCAAGGACCCCGAGTATGGAGGAAGAATGGAGAGGCCCAAGGACCCCGAGTATGGAGGAAGAATGGAGAGGCCCAAGGACCCCGAGTATGGAGGAAGAATGGAGAGGCCCAGGACCCCGAGGAGGGAGTATGGAGGAAGAATGGAGAGGCCCAAGGGCCCCGAGTATGGAGGAAGAATGGAGAGGCCCAAGGGCCCCGAGTATGGAGGAAGAATGGAGAGGCCCAAGGACCCCGAGTATGGAGGAAGAATGGAGAGGCACAAGGGCCCCGAGTATGGAGGAAGAATGGAGAGGCACACACTGCAAGATGCTTGATGTCCAGTGTGAAGTTTCCACAGTCTGTGTTGATTTGGGGAGCCATGTCATCTGCTGGTGTTGGCCCACTGTGCTTCATTAAGTCCAGGGTCAACGCAGCCGTAATGAGTCTATCTCAGCAATGGGCAAACTACGGCCCGGCGGACCTTTTAATCCGGCCCGCGGAGCTAGGCTCCCGCTAGGCTCCTCTCACAGTCCGCCCTGAAGACCGTTGTAGCATGAAAATCTGTCTCCTCTGTCCCCCTCGACGTATCTGCGCATGTGCCGGAGATCGCCGATCGGCTGCTAATGCCTGAAACTGGCACATGCGCAGATACGTCGAGGGAGACAGATTTTCATGCTACAACGGAACGGCGCGGGAACACGGCGAGAGGAACGCGCGGAGCAAAGGTAAGTGAATTGACACAGGGGGGACTTGGGGACTTACTATGGGGGATGAATTAATATGGGGAATGAATTACTATAGGGGGTGAATTACTATATGGGGGATGAATTACTATGGGGGATGAATTACTATGGGGGATGAATTACTATAGGGGGGATGAATTACTATGGGGGATGAATTACTATATGGGGGATGAATTACTATATGGGGGATGAATTACTATAGGGGGGATGAATTACTATAGGGGGGATGAATTACTATAGGGGGGATGAATTACTATGGGGGGATGAATTACTATGGGGGGATGAATTACTATGGGGGATGAATTACTATATGGGGGATGAATTACTATATGGGGGATGAATTACTATAGGGGGGATGAATTACTATAGGGGGGATGAATTACTATAGGGGGGATGAATTACTATATGGGGGATGAATTACTATATGGGGGATGAATTACTATAGGGGGGATGAATTACTATATGGGGGATGAATTACTATATGGGGGATGAATTACTATATGGGGGATGAATTACTATATGGGGGATGAATTACTATGCTTACTATGGGGGAATATTACTATACTTACTATGGATGACACATACACATCATTCATCTACTCTTGGTCCGGCCCCCGCGTCCAATATATGAACCCATTGCAGCCCTCAAGTCAAAAAGTTTGCCCACCCCTGGTCTATCTCATACACCTGGGTAGGGGGGGTGTTCTGAAGACTGCCCATTAGGTGGCGTGCTGAGCATGGAGTGGAGCTGGGGCCCAGACTCTGCTGGGGGGGAATCTGAATCTCTCCGCCGAGGTGACCCCCTCACCCGCCTCTCTCTGTGTAATAGAAGGAAAGGATTATTTTCCTCACGTGGAAATTGCTAATTTCAGAGCAGATTAGAGCGAGATGAAAAGTGCAGCACACAGGCGCTTCCTGTGGAGGGAGATAATCTGCTCATTAGAACAACTTCTTCTCCCCGCCGATAATCTGCCCCGAAAATGGAAGTTTTCCACCGATGGATTATACCATATGAAGAGCGATCTGAGGGGGCAATGTGACTTGCAGCCTGGGGGGGGGGGGGGGCTCCTCATATCCCCACATCCCCACATCCCCACATCCCCACTGATCCTCTCATCTCCAGTCATATTGTCTATGAAAGTGGAGCCGGCATCACGTACATTCCTGTGCATTCTGAGCGATGTGTCCCCCTGACCACGCCTTCATCTGCTCTTCTCTCCAGAAGGCACCATCTTTGTTCAGTCATCATCCAGGGTCACCATCTACTTCCTGGACTGACATTACACGTGCAAATCCTGGTGCTGGTGCAGTTCTTGTCTGTTCACAAATGTCTGACACAGATCAGCCCCTGCTGAAGCTTCTCACCTTGTGAGTGGCTACAGAGTTACAATGTACAGTCTGATCTCTGGGGGAGGGGAGACTGAGGAAATGCCTCCTCCTTCTACAGACTGTACATTGTAACTTTGTAGAAGAAGGATGAGGCATTTCCTCAGTCTCCCCTCCCCCAGTGATCAGACTGTACATTGTAACTTTGATCACTGGGGGAAGGGTGACTGAGGAAATGCTTCCTACAAAGTTACAATGTACGGCCTGATCACTGGGGGAGGAGAGACTGAGGAAATTCCTCCTCCTCTTTCTACAATTTACAATGTACAGTCCGATCACTGGGGGAGGAGACTGAGGAAATGCCTCGTCCGCCTTCTACAAAGTTACAATGTACAGTCTGATCACTGGGGGAGGGGAGACTGAGGAAATGCCTCCTCCTCCTTCTACAAAGTCACAATGTACAGTCTGGTCACTGGGGGAGGGGAGTCTGTAGAAGGAGGAGGAGTCATTTCCTCAGTCTCCCCTCCCCCAGTGACCAGACTGTACATTGTGACTTTGTAGAAGGAGGAGGAGTCATATCCTCAAAGTCACAATGTACGGTCTGATCACTGGGGGAGGGGAGACTGAGGAAATGCCTCCTCCTCCTCCTTCTACAAGGTTGCAGTGTACGGTCTGATCACTGGGGGAGGGAGACTGAGGAAACGCCTCCTCCTCCTACAAAGTTACAATGTATGGTCTTATCACTGGGGGAGGGAGACTGAGGAAATGCCTCCTCCTCCTACAAAGTTACAATGTATGGTCTGATCACTGGGGAAGGGGAGACTGAGGAAATGTCCCTCCTCCTTCTGCAAAGTTACAAGGTACAGTCCGATCACTGGGGGAGGGGAGACTGAGGAAAATGCCACCTCCTTCTACAAAGTTACAATGTACAGTCTGAGATCTGGGAATCCATAGGGACTGATGTGTGTTACAGGTGGGGGTCGCTCTTCATACTGCTGACCCAGGAGGACTGTGAGTGACGCCGTCGGACGAGGACCGTGCGGTTCTGGTACATGTGATCTCAGTGTTTGGCCCTCTGTAGGAGTGGTTGGTGGATTTCGCTGTCAGCATTCCGGGGCCCGGAGTGGGTCTCTGCTGCGGATAAATGTCAGCTCAGTGGGACTGGAATTTCAGGCTGTGAGCCGCACTCCCGGCTTGTTTTCTAGGAGTTTATCATTCCTCGCCGGCGGCGGCATTCTGCTGAGCTCCAGACGGCTAATACAGAGATCAATATATCTGGGGGGGGGGGGGGAGATCTGCTTCTGTCCATCCAGCCCTGAGATTTGCACAGCTCGGTCTCGAAGGAGAACTGAAGTCCAGTGGTTCTAAAGGCAGAACATTCTTTACCTGAATGTATTCCCTGCAGTGGGGTAACAAATGTTCCAGTGGAAGTATTGCCGCCTCATTACCCCCCCCCCCCCCCACCCCCAACTTCCTTGAGTCCTTTTCTGATCCTGTGCTGTGCCCGTCTGCAGCGTCTCTGTTCTCTCTTCCCTCACAGGACAGTGAGGAATCCGTGGTTGCCATTGGCTTCTGGGACATGGAAACATCCCAGCCTAGGCAAAGTCATGGGGGGACTGAGGAAATGTTTCTTCCTACCTGCAGCAAACTGATGACATAATCTCAGCCTAGGAGAAGTTACTTGGGGAGGGTGGGACTAAGGAAATGGTTCCTCCTACCTGATGACCTCATCTCAGCCTAGGCAAAGTCACGGGGAGTGGGTGGAGACTGAGGAAATATCATCTCAGCCTAGGAGAAGTCACGGGGGGGGGGGGGGGGGGGGGGACGACTGAGGAAATGGTTCCTCCTACTTGCAGCAGACTGATGACATCTCAGTCTAGGAAAAGTCACTGGGGTGGGTGGGGTACTGGGGAAATGGTTCCTCCTGCCTGCAGCAGACTGATGACATCATCTCAGCCTAGGATAAGTCACGGGGAGGAGGGGGACTGAGGAAATGGTTCCTCCTACCTGCAGCAGACCAATGACAGCCTGGGCAAAATCACTGACAGGAGCTCAGGGGGGGCTTCTTAATGAAATGTGGAGATTTTCTGAATGATACTATGACTGTATCTGGTGACAAGAAGGAGATTCACTCACGGAGAATTGTAACTGGTGAATGGTTTGCTTTAAAGGGAGCCGTGTGGGAATTGTTCCTGAATGACTGGGATGGTGTGTGCATGTATGTTGCGTGTGATCTGTATACTGTCTGTCCCGTGTTCCCGTGACACTCCAAGTTCTCTGATGTTCAGTCTGGAGAAGTCTTTATTTCGGTGTTAGAAATATCTTTGTATCATCTATTAGTAGATATTGGAGAGGGGCCCCTGAATACCCCGGGTCTGTAGTATCTTTGTATCATCTATTAGTAGAATATTGGAGCGGGGCCCCTGAATACCCCGGGTCTGTAGTATCTTTGTATCATCTATTAGTAGAATATTGGAGGGGGCCCCTGAATACCCCGGGTCTGTAGTATCTTTGTATCATCTATTAGTAGATATTGGAGCGGGGCCCCTGAATACCCCGGGTCTGTAGTATCTTTGTATCATCTATTAGATATTGGAGAGGGGCCCCTGAATACCCTGGGTCTGTAGTATCTTTTTATCATCTATTAGTAGATATTGGAGAGGGGCCCCTGAATACCCCGGGTCTGTAATATCTTTGTATTATCAGTAGAATATTGGAGGGGGCCCCTGAATACCCCGGGTCTGTAGTATCTTTGTATTATCAGTAGAATATTGGAGAGGGGCCCCCGAATACCCCGGGTCTGTAGTATCTTTGTATCATCTATTAGAATATTGGAGAGGGGCCCCTGAATAACCCGGTCTGTAGTATCTTTGTATCATCTATTAGAATATTGGAGAGGGGCCCCTGAATACCCCGGGTCTGTAGTATCTTTGTATAATCAGTAGAATATTGGAGAGGGGCCCCTGAATACCCCGGGTCTGTAGTATCTTTGTATCATCTATTAGTAGAATATTGGGGAGGGGCCCCTGAATACCCCGGGTCTGTAGTATCTTTGTATCATCTATTAGTAGAATATTGGGGAGGGGCCCCTGAATACCCTGGGTCTGTAGTATCTTTGTATCATCTATTAGTAGAATATTGGGGAGGGGCCCCTGAATACCCCGGGTCTGTGGTATCTTTGTTTCATGTGTTAGTATAATTATTTGGTGCCGCCGAAGACCTCCTATATGACGAAACGCGTTGGGTGGAGCCGGAAGCCGTGATGTCATTGCGCATGCGTGCATATGTGTGAGGAGTCTGAGAATTGTATTTTTACATGCATTTCTATGTACAGTGTTCATGTAAGTGTGTTTCACCGATTGTAAAGGAAGTATTGTTGGAGCGGGGCCCCTGAGTTCCCTGGGTCCCCATACCCCCGGGTCCCCATACCCCCGGGTCCCCATACCCCCGGGTCCCCATACCCCCGGGTCCCCATACTCCTGGGTCCATGGCTGTCTCGTCTGCAGGACATTTCTCCCGCCTTTGTCCGGAAATCACTCGGGGCCCCAATTCTACCCTCCACCATTGTCATTGCATTCATTAACTGATTCATTGACATTTGAGCTGCCATATGCCGAACAAACTACTGGGGGGAAATCTCCCCATTGTGGGAGGGGCGAGGACACAAACTACTGGGGGGAAATCTCCCCATTGTGGGAGGGGCAGAGACACAAACTACTGGGGGGAAATCTCCCCATTGTGGGAGGGGCGGAGACACAAACTACTGGGGGAAATCTCCCCATTGTGGGAGGGGCGAGGACACAAACTACTAGGGAAATCTCCCCATTGTGGGAGGGGCGAGGACACAAACTACTGGGGGAAATCTCCCCATTGTGGGAGGGGCGAGGACACAAACTACTGGGGGAATCTCCCCGTTGTGGGAGGGGCGAGGACACAAACTACTGGGGGAATCTCCCCATTGTGGGAGGGGCAGAGACACAAACTACTGGGGGAATCTCCCCATTGTGGGAGGGGCAGAGACAGAAACTACTGGGGGAAATCTCCCCATTGTGGAAGGGGCAGAGACACAAACTACTGGGGGAAATCTCCCCATTGTGGGAGGGGCAGAGACACAAACTACTGGGGGAAATCTCCCCATTGTGGGAGGGGCGAGGACACAAACTACTGGGGGAAATCTCCCCATTGTGAGGTTGCTGTACTTTTTATATTGACTCTTTCTTGATAGAAACCTTAGAAAGTGACATCAGTTGGTCAGTGTAGCTGCCAGGCAATTGGCATTTTCTGAGGGCCGTCAGCAGTGACCGCCTCCACCAGGAACCGTTCACTTTAAAGATGTCAATAAAGTTGCATGAGAGCTTTCTAGAAGACTCTTCCTGGGAGCAATGGTGGGAATGCTTCTTCCTGTCCCCTTGGCAGAGCGGTTTGTAGAGTGACAGCATGGAGGATGCTGGTGTTGTGGCAGCATGGAGGGTGTTGTGGCAGCATGGAGGGTGTTGTGGCAGCATGGAGGGTGCGGGTGTTGTGGCAGCATGGAGGGTGTTGTGGCAGGATGGAGGGTGCGGGTGTTGTGGTAGCATGGAGGGTGCGGGTGTTGTGGCAGCATGGGGGGTGTTGTGGCCGCATGGAGGGTTCTGGTGTCGTGGCAGCATGGAGGGTGCGGGTGTTGTGGCGGCATGGAGGGTGTTGTGGCAGCATGGAGGGTGTTGTGGCAGCATGGAGGGTGTTGTGGCAGCATGGAGGGTGTTGTGGCAGCATGGAGGGTGTTGTGGCAGGATGGAGGGTGTTGTGGCAGGATGGAGGGTGTTGTGGCAGGATGGAGGGTGTTGTGGCAGGATGGAGGGTGCAGGTGTTGTGGCAGCATGGAGGGTGCGGGTGTTGTGGCCGCATGGAAGGTTCTGGTGTCGTGGCCGCATGGAGGGTTCTGGTGTAGTGGCCGCATGGAGGGTGTGGGTGTCGTGGCAGCATGGAGGGTGCGGGTGTTGTGGCAGCATGGAGGGTGCGGGTGTTGTGGCAGCATGGAGGGAGGTGGTGGAGCTGTAGCAGAATCCCTCATTGAATAAACAAGAACACCATTGACAAGCTGCCGTACAAACTGTTCTGTAGAAATCGGTATTCCGCCCAATCAGACGAGTCCGTTATCTAATTGGCTTCTGTGAGGCGTCTGATTTGTGGGTCATCACAGAAGTGAGGAGTAGCAGCTGTTCTGCTCCTCTCTGCGCTCAGCCCGCCTTTGTTCCGGGTAATTATGACTAATTTCATATGATGATCGCCCGGGGTATGTAACGTGTCTGATGCGTGTAGCCGGATCATCAGCAGGAAGATGAATACATGCCGCCTCTGTTGTTACAGATGTTTTCCTCTCTAACCGTTCTACTGTACGCATGAGGAGGAGGGATGGTACACATGAGGAGGGGAGATGGTACGCATGAGGAGGGGAGATGGTACGCATGAGGAGGGGAGATGGTACGCATGAGGAGGGGAGATGGTACGCATGAGGAGGGGAGATGGTACGCATGAGGAGGGGAGATGGTACGCATGAGGAGGGGAGATGGTACGCATGAGGAGGGGAGATGGTACGCATGAGGAGGGGAGATGGTACGCATGAGGAGGGGAGATGGTACGCATGAGGAGGGGAGATGGTACGCATGAGGAGGAGGGATGGTACGCATGAGGAGGGGAGATGGTACGCATGAGGAGGGGGATGGTACACATGAGGAGGAGGGATGGTACACATGAGGAGGAGGGATGGTACACATGAGGAGGAGGGATGGTACACATGAGGAGGGGAGGTGGTACACATGAGGAGGGGAGATGGTACACATGAGGAGGGGAGATGGTACACATGAGGAGGAGGATGGTACACATGAGGAGGAGGGATGGTACACATGAGGAGGAGGGATGGTACACATGAGGAGGGGGGATGGTACACATGAGGAGGGGGGGGGATGGTACACATGAGGAGGGGGGATGGTACACATGAGGAGGGGGAATGGTACACATGAGGAGGGGAGATGGTACCCTGGTACACACGAGGAGGGGAGGTGGTACACACGAGGAGGGGAGGTGGTACACACGAGGAGGGGAGGTGGTACACACGAGGAGGGGAGATGGTACACACGAGGAGGGGAGATGGTACACACGAGGAGGGGAGATGGTACACACGAGGAGGGGAGGTGGTACACAGGAGGAGGGGAGGTACACATGAGGAGGGGAGATGGTACTCTGGTACACATGAGGAGGGGAGGTGGTACTCTGGTACACATGAGGAAGGGAGATGGTACACACGAGGAGGGGAGATGGTACACACGAGGAGGGGAGATGGTACACACGAGGAGGGGAGGTGGTACACACGAGGAGGGGAGGTGGTACACACGAGGAGGGGAGGTGGTACACAGAGGTGGTACACATGAGGAGGGGAGATGGTACTCTGGTACACATGAGGAGGGGAGATGGTACACATGAGGAGGGGAGATGGTACACATGAGGAGGGGAGGTGGTACTCTGGTACACATGAGGGGGGGGGATGGTACTCTGGTACACATGAATAGGGTTGGTTGGTACTCTGGCTTGCACCTCTGATGCCTCTCTGTGCTGGTTCCCAGGCCCCTGCCTCCCCGGCCACTCTAATCCTGGGGCCCCTGCCTCCCCGGCCACTCTAATCCTGGGGCCCCTGCCTCCCCGGCCACTCTAATCCTGGGGCCCCTGCCTCCCCGGCCACTCTAATCCTGGGGCCCCTGCCTCCCTGGCTGCTCTGATAGGGGATCAGAAACAATTCCCAGCTCACTTCCCAGCTAGCCTTCAACAAAACTGAGTTGTCCTGTCCAACCGTTCATAGTAACACCAGGGGTTCAGTTGCACACATTTGCAGATATATGTGAAAGCCGCAGTGGCCATGTCAGGGCGCCCCAGTTCACTGCAGTCCTAACTCTATACTTTCGAGTGTCTCCCAACTTGGAGCGCATATATAGCAGATGGATAAAGGGCCGGTATGCCTGAAGGGGGCCAACCCTTCCTTAAAGGTACAGGGATGCACGGGACACCCAGCAAGGACACAATGGCAGCTGAAGGCATCCTGTGCGTGCCCGCATCCGTTCACAGCCCGTGCAAACAAGTGGTAGCCACCCCAACCTTTAACTGGCCTTTGCAGCAAGCCTGCAACAAAACCCAATTGACCTGTCTAACTGTTCGCGCTGCACAACACACATTTGCAAATATGTGTAAGCCGCAGTGGCCACGTCAAGGCACCCCCAGGCCTCTGTCTCTCCATCCACTCTTATTCAGAGCTTCTGCCTCCCTGGCTGCTCTCATTTAGGGCCCCTGCCTCTCCTGCCATCCTGCTGCTGGGGCCTCTGCCTTACCGAACGCTCTGATCCCAGGGCCTCTGCCTTACCGGACTCTCTGGAGCCGGGGGGCCTCTGCCTTCCCGGACGCTCTTTCTGGCTGCTCTGGGCCAAGGGCTCCAAATACACAACTCTTTGCTTTCATGCTCTAAAATTTGGTTCTGCAATGCTTTGTTGGGAAGTAAGGAGGTATTTTTTTTTGCTTATTTCCTTTTTAGAATAAATTGGATGTAATTATTTTCTGGGCTGTGTTGTAGTGTCTGTAGTATAGAGTGTAGGAGGTGGTTGTAGTGTCCGTAATACAGAGCGTAGGAGGGGGTGGTAGCGTCCGTAGTACAGAGCGTAGGAGGGGGGTTGTAGTGTCTGTAGTATAGAGCGTAGGAGGGGGTTGTAGCGTCCGTAGTACAGAGCGTAGGAGGGGGTTGTAGCGTCCGTAGTACAGAGCGTAGGAGGGGGGTTGTAGTGTCGTAGTATAGAGCGTAGGATGGGGGTTGTAGTGTCATAGTATAGAGCGTAGGATGGGGGTTGTAGTGTCGTAGCATAGAGTGTAGGAGGGGGTTGTAGTGTCATAGCATAAAGCGTAGGAGGGGGTTGTAGTGTCGTAGCGTAGAGCGTAGGAGGGGGGTTGTACTGTTGTAGCGCAGAGCGTAGGAGGGGGGTTGTAGTGTCATAGCGCAGAGCGTAGGAGGGGGGTTGTAGTGTCGTAGTGCAGAGCGTAGGAGGGGGGTTGTAGTGTCGTAGTACAGAGCGTAGGAGGGGGGTTGTAGTGTCGTAGTACAGAGCGTAGGAGGGGGGTTGTAGTGTCGTAGTACAGAGCGTAGGAGGGGGGTTGTAGTGTTGTAGTATAGGAGCGTAGGAGGGGGGTTGTAGCATCCGTAGTATAGAGCGTAGGAGGGGGGTTGTAGCGTCCGTAGTATAGAGCGTAGGAGGGGGGTTGTAGCATCCGTAGTATAGAGCGTAGGAGGGGGGTTGTAGCGTCCGTAGTATAGAGCGTAGGAGGGGGGTTGTAGCGTCCGTAGTATAGAGCGTAGGAGGGGGGTTGTAGCGTCCGTAGTATAGAGTGTAGGAGGGGGGTTGTAGCGTCCGTAGTATAGAGTGTAGGAGGGGGGTTGTAGCGTCCGTAGTATAGAGTGTAGGAGGGGGGTTGTAGCGTCCGTAGTATAGAGTGTAGGAGGGGGGTTGTAGCGTCCGTAGTATAGAGTGTAGGAGGGGGGTTGTAGCGTCCGTAGTATAGAGTGTAGGAGGGGGGTTGTAGCGTCCGTAGTATAGAGTGTAGGAGGGGGGGTTGTAGCGTCCGTAGTATAGAGTGTAGGAGGGGGGTTGTAGCGTCCGTAGTATAGAGTGTAGGAGGAGGGGGTTGTAGCGTCCGTAGTATAGAGTGTAGGAGGGGGGTTGTAGCGTCCGTAGTATAGAGCGTAGGAGGGGGGTTGTAGTAGAGCAGGGAAGACGGCGTTCGGTGGAATATTTCCTCTTTCA